TGAATGTTTGGGAAGAATTTCTGGAAGGATATAAAACCTTTTCTTGCTAAAAGTCCCTTTCCTTTGTACCTTTTATATTTGGAATTTTACTGATTATTCTCCCAAAAATTTTTGCATTTTGAGTTCTCGTTGGACGGATCATTGTCATATGAAAGAAGTAGGTCCACGCTTTGAAATTAGCCCCATTAGGCTTTTTCGGTCATTTCTGTTTGTTTAAATGTGTTCGCATCTTCCAGCTGAACCACGATGTAGGCCATGCAGTTGAAGGGTAGATGTCAGTTAACACCCTATTTCGATTCGATTTAATTTAAAATTCGATTCCATTGAAATTTTTTTAGATTTTTTCCCGATTTTAGAATTTTTGCAATGAGATCTCTTTTTCATGATTATTTAGCGACTTTGAAGAAGTAATTATCTTTTAACTTTGGTGTGACCGCGTTAAATTATTTCGATATCATCTATTCCGTTTCGCCACCACATAATTTGGTACTACACTTCCATGTGACCCGCCATCAATTTCAGTTCTCAAGAAATTAAGTCAATTAAATAAATTAGTATTAATATTCGAATTCAAAAATAAAATATAAAAAACACTACAAATGTACATTAGAAAAAAGTAAGTCAAAATGGAAAAAAAATCATGCAAAATAAAACATTACTATTGTACATTTCAAAAATCAAAATGAAAATGTTAATATATCACATTTTTATGCGATTTTTTTTGATATTATCCTTTTCGGAGAGGAGACAATTCCGAATTTGTGTGAATCGTTAAAATCAGTCCAGCGGTTCTTAAGTTATAAGCGTAGTAACTAACACAACTTACATTTATATATATAGATTACCAACATTTGAGGAATTTGAAAGGGGCTATATCACAATGTAGACCAACCTGACACATATTTTGTACAAATGATTCCTCATGTAACCCCTAGGACTGTATCAAATTTAAAACTTTATCGTTACTTTCGCGGAGTATAGGGCAAAATATTTGCGGTCCTTTGTGTATTGTTAAGGTATATAAAATGGAATCTTTAGATCCGGGAACCCCTCTTTTGTGATTTTTATTTACCAACCAAAAAAATCCTAACCCCAAGATTGTCTACGGCGCAGTGTAATTACTGGCGATAGCACACATTGCCGAGTATATGAATCCTTTTCTTACTAAATTTTCAATTCACTCCGCTATTTTGTATAGTCCGCATACTACAGTGCCTCTGCATATTCGGTATTTTACTGATTGAATTCCTAATGAATTCATTGGACGAATTATTTCCATATCTAATCAAAATTGAAAATTTGGGTATCGCAACAATATATAGCAAAGCATGTATAACAGCATTAAAGCCCAGATTACGTATACTAACTTTGGAACAGATATCTTCATGATTTGGGCAAATATTAGGATTTTCGATAAATCGAAAAAATGGGCGCAAAATTGGGCGTGGTCACTTTTTCTTTGCATAAAAATCTAAATAGGGGTAGAACGTATATTTAAAATAAAAAATATCTAAATAGTTCCAGCCGGCCTCAACTGATTCAACTGCCAACAAACAACAATTGGTTTATATATAGATTAAAAAGTAGGCGTGGTCAGTTCCTCAGCTCCCAAATAAATACTTAGGATTGGAGGGAAAGTCTACAGTATGTCGTGTAATAATTTTAAAACCGATATCTTCATTATTTGGCAAATATATGGATTTTTGATAAATCGAAATAGAGGGCGTAAAAGTAGGCGTAGTCAATATTTTGTTCTTTAAAAACCTAACTTACGAACGTTTGTACTTATGCAAATCGGTTCAGCCGTTCTCAACTGATTCCATTACCAACGAACAACAATTGATTTTTATATATATATAGATTATTTATTATTTTTGATTGACTCAAATTTTGTTCTCTTTTTATACCCTCCACCATAGTATGGAGGGTATATTAAGTTTGTCATTCCGTTTGTAACACCTCGAAATATACATTTTAGACCCCACAAAGTATATATATTCTTGATCAGCATAAAATTCTATGTCGATTTATCAATGTCCGTCCGTCTGTCCGTCTGTCCGTCTGTGGAAATCACTCTAGCTTCCGAACGAAATGAAGTAGGTTGATAAAATTTTACTCAAATGTGTACTATGTCTGCAGGATTTTTGGTATTGAAAATGGGCCATGTAGGTCCACGTCTTCGTATAGCCCCCATATAACGGTACCTAACGATATGCGGCATTTTGATGATTCTAGCGACATTTGTTACTGGAATTGTTTCAAAATTAATATTTAAAGTTCATAATAGATGCTACGGCTTAAGACAGAAAATGGGCTATGTAGGTCCATGTCTTCGTATAGCCCCCATATAACGGTACCTCCCGATATTCGGTATTTTGATCATTTTAGCGACATTATTTACCGGAATTGTTTCAATTTTGGTATTTAAAGTTCGTAATGGATACTACATCCTAAGACAGAAAATGAGCCATTTAGGTCCACGTCTTCGTATAGCCTGCATATAACGGTACCTCCCGATATGCGGTATTTTGATGAGTCTAGCGACATTTGTTACTGGAATTGTTTCAAAATTAATATTTACAGCATAAAACAGAAAATGGGTCATGTAGGTCCACGTCTTCGTATAGCCCCCATGTAACGGTACCCCCCGATATTCGGTATTTTGATCATTTTAGCGACATTATTTACCGGAATTGTTTCAGTTTTAGTATTTGAAGTTCGTAATGAATACTACATCCTAAGACAAAAAATGAGCCATGTAGGTCCACGTCTTCGTATAGCCCCCATATAACGGTACCACCCGATATTCGGTATTTTGATGATTTTAGCGACATTATTTACCGGAATTGTTTCACATTTTGCATTTAAAGTTCATAATGGATGCTACAGCCTATCACAGAAAGTTGTCTGGTCAGGTCCACGCCTTCGTATAGCCCCCATATAACTGTACCCCCCGAACTTCGATATTTTCATGATTTTAGCGACATTATTTACCGGAATTGTTTCAAATTTCGCATTTGAAGTTTGTGAAGTTCGATATTACAGCCTATGACAGAAAATTGCCTGTGCATTATAAACAGATTTTTTTCAAGTTTCGCATTTGAATATTGTAATAGCTTGTGACAGAAGTTGCCTATGCAGGTCCACATAGTCGTATAGACTCTAATATAGGGCTATAGGTATTTTCAAGATTTTAACAGATTTTTAAGGGATTTTATTTTTTTGAAAATTGTTAAATTTGTACTAAATTGTGGAGGGTATTCAAAGTTCGGCTCGGCCGAACTTACAGCTTTTTTACTTGTTTTCTTATTAAGATATGAACATTAAAAAAACACAAATGAATGAATGAACGGAATGCTTACGAAGATCTAACACGATTGGGCTCTGCAGAGACCACTGAGAAAAACAAAACAACAACTGGGAAACAAAATACAAAAACAAATCGGATGAACAATATATATATGGGACATATAGCTATATCTAAACCGATTTTCACCAAATTTGACATACTAGCATCTGGACTCAATTCGGTCGTAAGTGTAAAATTCTATCCCATTTGGGCTAATATTACAATCAATCAAATCAAATTTTGCATACTTATTTTCAGGCCTAATTTCGTCGTATGTGCAAAATTCTATACTATCGGACGAAGATATATATGGGGTCTATTGTGCAAAATTTCATCTGGATCGGGCAATAAATGCGACCTGTACTTTGGACAGACAGACGGACGGACATGCATAAATCGACTCAAAGTGTGATTCTATGCAGATCATCAAAAGGAACTATGGGTCTATCTCGTTTCCCTTTGCCTGTTACAAACAAATGCACAAAGACATAATACCCTGACACCTTGTGGTGTAAGGTAGAAAAACACTGTCTCAAGCCCATAACATACCTAAAATTAGGAAGTACCGTTATATAGGGCCTATATATAAAAATGAAGTTATCTTCACACAATTTTCCGGCAAAATTTCTAAAAATTGGTACTGCCGTTATGTATTGTCCATACATACTAGTAAACATATCTACACAAAATTTAGCAGTGAAAGATTCTGTCAGCTCTGAATTCAAAATGTCATGATATACATTTTTTGGCTTAAAATTGTGATCGAAACATTCAAAATACCGAAAACGGGAAGTAACTCTATATGGAGCCACACTGAAACGTAGACCGATTTGTCCCATTTTGAATACCAAACATTCTAGTGATAATAAAAACGTCTGAACAAAATTTAAAAGTGATAGAATGGTTCCCTAAATTAATCTCAATTTTTGAGGATCTCATCCCACTGTGCGACGTAGGTTCTAATTCTGAGTAATTTGCCTGAGGCATTTTTTTTGTTGTAGAGTTTTTTTCTCTTCAGCTTGTGTAGTAAACATTTGTTATAAAAAATAAAATGAAATAAAAAATAGAGTATCTCTCTCTCTCTCTTTTAATATTATTTACGGAAAACGTACATGATACTTTGCATTTTAAACATATTCTACAGTTTTTACTGAAGACTAGTCGACCGCTCTAGCTATTGGCTTTTGTCATTACATTATGACAGTTGTTGTTAATATGTACATCAGTTTCATCCGACTTTCGGTTCGAATTCGGACCGAACTCGGACATTTTGGTTCGCTGGGTATGTACTTTCAATTAAATTACTACAATGAGACTTGATAATCAATCATACCTTATGGGCCAGAACTGGCAATCGTCTCCCAATTCATTGGGTTGCCGGGATGAATGGTCACTTTACCACACACGCAACACACATACACGCACACATTGAAGTGATGTTGATGGCGAGAATGGGAACAGCGATGAACGGGGGGCAAGCACAGCAACATGAAATACATACACACACATACATACATATATGATAGTTTATGAAATGAATTATGATGCAATGAATAAATGAATGATGAATGAATAAAGGAAACAAGTGGCGAATAAACATCTAAAACAAACAACTACACAATAATGGACGACCGTTACGGTCAATACTTACGGATTTGTAGCAAATGAATCGGTCCGACTCCCGTTGTTCGCCTCGATGCTGCTTAGCACATTCGAGTGTTTGCCCACTGTCAGGGCAGCCGATGTGCGATCCGTTAGATTCTGGTCTGCATACTTTGAATCGCTCAGATCGGAGTCCATGGATAAGTGACCAAAGAGATCTTCCAGCAAAATATTCGACTTGGATGATCTTTGTTTTTTGGCAGAGCTTTTCAGTTTTTTCCTGTGAATAAAATTCATTTCATAATGGAGACTTTGAAGGGATTTAAATTGTTTGGGGATTATTACAGAAATTAATATGTTTGTGTCATTGAAAAATATATCTCCCATTGCCCACTCGTCGACAAGATACCTGTGATCGCTGCATTCATACATTAAGAACACCGGGGACGAATTCTGTCGCTGTTACAATATGCTAAATGGAACCCGGCGATAAAGCTTTGCAATAGTGAAACTTATTAATATAATTCAAATAAAGACCCTACAATTATTCTTAAGGGTTTGTTTTGAATTTGCAATTTGTAGTTTGTAATGAGTACTACCTACTGTGTCAGAATATTATCTGTGAAGGCCAAGTTTGTCTAACCATTCCGAACCAAAAGAGAATGTTGGCTCTAAATTAAAATTCCTTTATTCTCTTTGCTTCCGGCAGAATGCTGCCCGGCCTTATGATTTTTATCCCAATACCAAAACACTGTCCGTATAGGACTTTGAAACTAAGAAGCCTTCAATCTCTAAATTATGGTCCTAATTCGATTAATTTAAAATAGATTCAATTGTCCGTCTTGTCTAATATTTTCGTTCACATATGTCAAACCGATCAAATTTATTACACAGGTTGTTCCTTAAGGCTAGGATACACATCATGTTAGAATCATGGCTCAACCAGAGAGGTTGTTCAATTTCGAAGAAACTAGGAAAAATACAACTCTGTACTATATCCATATTGTGTCTAACAGGCTTGGAAAGCATGCAGTAAATAAATGGTTTAGCTAATATTAAAATTTGTTCACGCAAACTTATAATCTATCTACATATATATAAAAGAAAGTTGTGTTAGTTACTACGCTTATAGCTCAAAAACCGCTGATCTGATTTTAACGATTCACACAAATTCGGAATTGTCTCTTGGCAGAAATAGATAAAATCCAAAAAAAAAATTGCGTAAAAATGTGAAATTCGAAAATTTTCATTTTGACTTTGTACAATAGTAATGTTTTATTTTGCAAATTTTTTTGACTTACTATTTTGGAATGTACATTTGTAGTGTTTTTTTTTTTTTTTTTTGAATTGTAATATGATGTGTAGTCTTTTTTGGTAGAATAAAGCGACGACAATTATTGAGTGGCGGACCTAAATAGATGATGTCAAAATAATTTAACCAAAGTTAAAAGATAATTACTTTTTTCAAAATTGCTAAAAAAAATCAAAAAAGAGCCTATTGCATTGCAAAAACCTCTAAAATCGGGAAAAATAGAGAACATTTTTTTTCAATGGAATCAAATTTCAAAATTATAGTAAGGACCAAACATTGTAAGGACCTTTAAACATTCGCTGTAAAAAACCAGCGAACAAGTTAAAGATTTTTTTTTTTTTCAATTTGTTTATTATTAGTTACTATGCTTATAATTCAAGAACGTTTTGGCGGATTTTCACAATTCATACATCTTCGGAATGGAATCTTGGCAAAAAATTGCGTAAAATATGCCAATAAAAATATAAAAGAAAAAATCCTTTTGGCGTGAAATTTTTTCAATTTTAAAAGTATATAGAAGTGTACATTTTTTATTGCTTTGAATTCTGAATGAATAACATCAAAAACGAAATAGTACGCAATACGATGTTAAATAGCGTCTGAAATTGGCGTTTGGCTTTCAACTCCAGGATCTACATCGTGCTTCAGCTAGAAGATGCGAACAGATTAAAAACAAAAAAAAAACTTGCAAAACGTTATGGGGCTCATTTCAAAACGTGGACCTACCTACTTCTTTCACATGACAATAATCCGTCCAATGAGGACTCAATATGCAAAATTCATTGGGACTGTAATCAGTGAAATACCAAATATAAAGGGCGCAAAAAAGAAGAGGGAAAAGAATTTCTATTCTTTCATAAATTCTTTCTAAACATTCACGATACCTTAAATCACTTTTGCAGTTCATGATATGGGTCATAACCCCCGGGTTATGATACAATCCGATTTCAAGTATATCTTACCATATTTTCATACTAATTTCGGCAAATGTTGGTAATTTGGGAAGAAACAATCCTTGCAAAAACTGATCCCGTTTTGTATAACCATCAAATGATTTAAGGAACCGGACATTTGTTTAATCGTCTTTGAATTGTACTATGATAAAAGATATGGACATTATGGGATCTCCAACGCGCAATTTCAATGACAAATACTAAATATTACTTTAAAAACAAGTAAACCAGTAAGGAAAGCTCAAAAGTCGGGCGGGGCCGACTATATGATACCCTACACCACTATGCATATTTAGTAGAGCTCTCGTAAAAAGGTTTATACAGGGCATTTCAGAGCTCTATGAGATATTTGGTACAAAATCAAAATCTATCTAATTCTATCGTGCATTTTACGAACTATAGTTATCTCTGAACCGGGTTTCTCCAAATTTTACGTATTAGTTTCTAGTTTCGGACTTATGTACGAAAATTCAGGTGATTTGGGCTGATATTGACCATTTAGTGCACATTTAACCCGAAATCGGATGAAGATATATATGTGGGAGCTATATCCAAATCTGAACCGATTTCGATAACATTTAAAACAGCTATTTCTGTGCTCCATCTAATACCTGGTACCAAGTATCACGGTTGTGGAGTGAATATTACGAATGTATGGGACTAAAACACTAAATCGGATGAAACATATATATGGTTGCTATATCTATATCTGAACCGATTTTCACTAAATTTGATATACTTGCTTCTAGGCTGAATTTGGTCCGATGTAATAAAATTCAGTCCATTTGGACTTATATTGGCCATTTGGTGCACAATTAACCCGAAATCGGATGAAGATATATATGGAAGCCATATCCAAATCTGAACCGATTTCGATAAAATTACAAACAGCTATTTCTGGGCTGTATCTTATATCTGGTACCAAATATCATTCTTGTGGAGTGCATATTACGAATGTGAAAGGCTTAAACACCAAATCGGATAAAACATATATATGGGAGCTATAGCTATATCTGAACCGATTTTCTCCAAATTTGTTGTATTTGCTTTAAGGCTAATCTCGGTCACATGTGCCAAAATTCGGGCCATTTGGACTGATATTGGCCATTTGGTGGTCAATTAACCCGAAATCGGATGAAGATATATATGGGAGCTATATCCAAATCTGAACCGATTTCGATAAAATTTAAAACAGCTATTTCTGTGCTCCATCTAATACCTGGTACCAAATATCAAAGATCAAATCGGATGAAAGATATATATGGGAGCTATAGCTATATCTGAACCGATTTTCTCCAAATTTGATATACTTGCTTCTAGGCCGAACTCGGTTGGGTGTGCCCAAATTCAGGTAATTTGGACTGATAGTGGACATTTGGTGCACATTTAACCCGAAATCGGATGAAGATATATATGGGAGCTATATCTAAATTTGATCCGATTCTCACCAATTTCAATAGAGTTCGTCCTTGGGCCAAAAAAGTATTGTTTGGAAAATTTCATCTCAATCGGATAATAAATGCGACCTGCATTTTGTTCACAAGAATACATGGACAGACGGACTGACATGCATAAATCGACTCAGAAAGTGATTCTATGAAGGTTCTCAAAAGTAACTATGGGTCTATCTCGTTTCCTTCTCCATGTTACAAACAAATGCACAAAGACATAATACCCTTACCACTATGTGGTGTAGGGTATAAAAAATAAGTTCGCCGGGCAGAACTATTATTATCATCCACCTTAGGGTAAAGAAAACATTTTTATATAATAGTATCTGAATTCAAGCGTGTTTCACTTTAAACTTCGTATACCAGAAAGACGGTTTGGATAATGCAGTTAACTTATCAAAAAACCATAAAGTGAATGAGGCCGTTATATGGGGCCATACCAAAACGGGAACCTCTGTGAACAATTTTATACTTCAAGAATTGTCATCTATCAAACCTCCTAAAATACCAAATTTGAAACATTTGTGTGACTAGAATTATCGACATACCCAATATCGGTAGGTATCGTTATATATGTTAGACAAATCCGAGGAGAAATGTGGCAAAAATCATGAAAATACCGAATTTCGAGAGATGATCTACGCCAAATGATGTAGGCTGTATCGTAATTTAAACAACCAGACATACTGATGGACAAATCGACATATAATTTATGCTGATTATGAATATATATATATATATGTATATTTTATGGGGTCTATGACGAACATTTATGGATGTTACAAATGAAATGAAAAAGTTAATATACCCTCCAAGTTGGAGGATATAATAAGCATTAAAGACTAAAGGCCGGCAACGCGGACCGGATCAGCTAGTATATATATATATATATATATATATATATATATATATATATATATATACATATATTTGGACTATTGTGTTTGGAGTATTTTGGAAAGCAAGGTTGGGACTAAAAATACCAAAGTGTCGATCACCTCAAGCCGGCGCTTCGCCGGGAATGGGCCAAAATATCGTAGAGCAACATTCGGGCAGCGTGTGACGGTTTAATTGGCCGTTTGAAGGCCATAATTCGTGGCAAAGGTGACCAATTCGAGCAAATCTAAACTTTGTAAAATTTGAAGATAGGGTAAGTGCGCCTAAGTTCGGCATGTCCCAGTATACGGCAGTTTTGAAATTTAAACGCAAATAACTAAAAATAAAATTGACCAGATAATGAAATAATTCCAAAAAAAACTTCAACAGTGTTCTCTGCTCTCTTTCTATAAAAAATAATGAGTTTCGATCCTTCATTACGAGAGAATAACGGTTTTTGTCAGTGAGTATCTTCCAACGCGTGCGATAGTGCTTCTTTGTAAAGAAAAAAATTAGTGGTGGCGTCAACTTAATAATCGATATAAGTACACTAAATTTATTACTTTTGGAATCAGAAATCTATATATATAAAAATCCATTGTTGTTCGTTGGTAATGGAATCAGTTGAAAACGGCTGAACCGATTTTCATAATTTTTTGTACAAACGTTCGTCATGCCCCGAGTTAGG